ATAATTGTCCCTATTTAAAAGTTTTAACAACTGCATAATAAAAATATGTTTTTTAAGTGTTGTTTTTTTTGGAAATGTCTGTCCCCTTTTTTTTAATTTTAACCAATTGCATAATTAAAAATAATATAAGATTTTTAAAAATTTATCCTTGGAAATGTTTGTCCCGATTTTAACAAATGCATAATAAGTTTTTTTAAACCTTGTCCTTGGAAATGTCTGTCCAATTTTCATTTTTAACAATTGTGCATTAAAAAAATCCTGTCTTCCTGCTTGTTACATGCAGTATTTCCGAGTTTTTTTTTTCTTAGGTAAACTGGAACTCCAGCCAAAACTTTTTTTCTTCAGTTTTCAATGGGATTAGAGCCTTGTAATGCTGGCCATAGACTTATAGATTATCTGCAGATTTTCTCTGTCAGAAGGAAAACGTGCAACAGATTCCTCCATCTATGCTAAACTGTATGGATGGAGGAATCTCCCACTTTTTCCATCTGACCATAGAAAATCTGCAGACAATCTGTAAGTGTATTGTTAGCTTTAGACTTGGGTCAAGTGCTTGATACAAGTGCTATCTCAACTGCCCATCACCATGGCACCCAATCATCTTATATCTAATCATTTTTTTCCACACAGCTTAGAAAATTTAAATGTAAAAGCCCATTGGCTGCAGTTGAGACAAGGTTTCTCCCCATATGTCTGTTGACTACGGGAAGTGCTGGGAAATCTCCCCAGCTATGGGAGCCTGTACTTTGCCCATGATTGGCTATGAAATGGGTTTGCTTGATATTGGCTACAGTAAGCAATGTGTACTTACCTTCCCCACGCTTCACCACTATTAGAGCCCCCGGAAACTTCTGTGTAAGTTTTAACTTTGACTGCCAAAGTCTGAGCTGTTCAGGTTGTCCTAGCCCTTAAGCTGGCCATGCACTGCTCAAATTTCGACCAGTGTGTGGCCCCTGATGGTACCCCTCCGTTTGACAAAAGTACATTTTTCAACCGACTTTTGTTGAATAATCCAGTACTAAAATTCTTGGCCAAAAAGTGATGGCAGCCAATCAGCTGCAGTCAATTATTATTAGTCTATTATTATGCACGTGGTGTAAAAAACTTTGGTAGTACATGGGTCAGAAAGCGACATAAAGCTTTGGGGTGGGGAGGGATAAAAAATGGGGGGGGGAA